TGGGTCACGGACTGGATTTTCTTCCGAACTTCGGTCGTCGCTTCTTACCTCTGAGCCTAACTGCTGATCGAACAGTTGTTACCTAAAACAACCCTCTCTGGCATAACTAATACTGCCCCTCTCGAAGTTGATGTTGATTCCATATTCTTTTAAAAGTTGACAACCAATTATAGCTTCACTAGTAAGCTGGGGAGATATCATAAAAACTCCCTCGATTATGTCACTACCTATAGCAAATTCTACCAGCGCCTGACTTCTGATTTTCTTAGAGCGTCTTCCATAAGCTTATACTAATACAACGTTTTGTAACGGTAACACGGGTACTTCTAAGCCTGACTCGACTAGTCTGTCTTAAACCCCTTCCGACAACAAATTAACCTCGCTCCCAGAGTCTAAAATCGCCCTGATTCTTGTTCCATTGCTAAATACAATGCCCCTCTGTGGACATTTCGATAAATTATCCTCATTGATAAAGAATACATCAGGTGTCGTCGTCCCCTCCTCCTGCTTTCCTTCAACTTCCGATAACTCGTTAAATTCATAATCCTTTGATTTCTTAAATTTAGAAGGGTTAGGTGGACCTAGGTTTACGTTGTTCCTAATCACGGGAGACATTCGGTCCTTAATATCTCCGGTAATTAATTTAAAGTATTATGGCTGCCGTTTCCCCTCGGTGAGGCTTCCCTTCTGTTCTCCGAGAGGGGGTTAAAAGACGTGGCCTGGGGGTTGAGAATTGGAGATACTCCAGTCCTCGGTTCGCTTTCCTGTTCTCTGTTGTAAAAGTTCCTTTGCTCCCTGAAGCTATTGTTCCGCGAACGGCGTCCGTGGTACTGTATATGCCGTACTTGGCCTTGACCTCTAGTTCGGTCCCTTGTCTGCAGTGCCGGCCCAGAGCGATTTGGATTATATCCATGTGAAGCCCTCGGGTCCTGATACTTATTATGGTAATTTTCCTGGCTTTCCATGATATCGACTCGTTTTAACAAGTCTAACGCTTCCCCTATGGAGCGCAGCCGCGTGCTCAACATCGCTCTTTGTACACTTATATGGAAGTGGTATCTCAACGCTTCTATGATCTCTGAGGCTGTGGGCTTTGGGTCTAGGTATGAGGCCATAGTAGCATATTTCAGGAAATGTCCAGACAACGACAGGTTTGACTGTCGATTGTATTTTCCCTGATACAGACTACATTTAACTAAACTTTGCTGCGATGCTGACCAAAAAACGCTGAGAAATTCTTTCCGAAAGGATTCATAATCACTAAGCTGATGACTTACGGTTTCTGCCCACTGGCGACTTAAACTTCCAGCTAGCGAACGGTATGCAACCGCCAGCTGACAAGATTTTGATATGCCCTTAAGTTTCATGAACTCGTCTAGCTGCTTAAGGTGGTAAACTGGGTTAACGTCTGAACTTTCGTCAAACAATGGGAGAGGAAAATCTGCGTTGCTCAGATAACTATTAGCAGATGAGTGCCCCTCAGTTACAGTCACATTGTTTACATTCACTCCATTTCTCTCACACACTTTACAAGAACTGGACATGCATCCACATGATGTGTCCACACTGATCTGTTCAACACTGTTAGCGTTATCAACCCTTCCAGCAGACGTAGGAGAAAGTGGAACTGGGTTGCCAGCTTCGCGTGATTCTGCGGAATCCGCTGTTCTGACAACCCTTTCCTTTTCCGAAACTCGGCTCTTCAACGCATTAATTTCCGAATAAAGTTGTGCCAACTGCTTTTCGATTTCTAATTATCTTTTGACCTGTGGGATCCATGTTCTCCTTTTGCTGCCTTTTCATATCATCATTAATGTCATCCATAGCACTTTTTACCTGGCTTATTTCTCTGTCCAACCTGGTTACTCTCTCATCTAATTGTTTTACATTACTGTCAACCTCAGACCTATTCACTATCACCCTGCTTGTCAGCTCGTCTAAGATCGAGTTTGTTTGTGAACTCTGCTGCTCCAACCGATCTTCTAGCCCTGTACTAACTACTTGTATGTTTTTCTTGACGGCTACTAGCTCGGCTTCCGTGTCTTTCTGTACCTGACTGATTAAGTGTGTGCATTTCCTGACTTCAGAATGCAGCCTCTCAGAAAATTCCTTGTTAAGTTTTTGATTTTCTAATTCCAATCTTTCTATTAGTTTTTCTGTTTCTGACTTTATATCTGCGCGAACACTTTCCTGAAGTTGCGAATAACTGGCTTCTACCTTGCTTTGGAGGGCTTTATTGCTTTCTAATACATTGTTCTGAAGGGCTTGCATTTGCTTGTTACTATCCTTAACAGCCGACAGCAAGCTGGCAAAGAGATTACGCAAATCATTTGGGTTGGCTATTGAAATTTCGGACGGAGGACCCTCCATAACTTCGACAAAGTCACTCTGACCTAACCCAGTCTCTGTCACTTCTGTATTAAGGGTTTCTGACTCTGGTACCTGCCTAGTGCTTGTTTCTAGTCCTTCAAGACGTTCGTCCACACTGCCTAATACTTCTGATTGCTCACTAGGCCGATCGCCGTCACTCTTCCCTGCCGAGAACTCTACACCATCTTCCTTTAGTTCTACTGTGCGGCTGCGGAGCGTGCGGTTAGCCATCTCCGCCTGAACACTAACCTTTATGTTGCTGGTGTCCTGCGGCGTCCATAGGCTGTATTGTAGTAGCCGAAATGATGGCTTCCGGCTCCGTCGTCCTTGACCTTTCTCCAGCTAAGTGCGGATTGTACCTTGTAGTTGTTGCCGTAGGGGTCTTGGGTGTGTAGTTCGTTCCTCTCTGCTGAGTCCTGCCTTGGCTCAGGCGTCGAGCCCAGCTGTTGGTCGACACTCTTTTTTGTAACCGCTCACTTCCCTTGAGGGTTCTTTACGTTGTGCGCCATGCTGTTGCCGTCCTCCTTGATCCTACGTTGTGCTCCACTTATCAGCGTCCTCCCTCTTCTCGTAGATGTCGAGAAGTTATATGGAAAGGGAGAATTGTGGTTCCTGGAGCTGTTACGCGAGAGCAGGTAAAGACGGGAGTAACTGGGTTCTGTTCAGTAATCAGTAGAGCTGAGTTCCTATCCCGGGTCTTATACGGGTCCGGCTCGGGCAGGGCAGGAAGAACCTTTCTACTTCAACCACACACACACTTTAGACCGTTGCACTTAATGGTCATTTAATCCCTTCCAGCATACTAAATACAACTGAATTTATTAATACACTTAATGTGAACTTTACTTATACTACTTTACGGAAGGGCCGTACTTGTAAATTTTGCGTCCGACTTTGCCGAAAGTTGTATCATCAAACTAGGAGGTTCCTTAAATTTTGAATTCCCAATCATGTTGCTTTGCTATGTGATTCTGGCATGATGCTGACCTGACGCTAAGGTTGACAGCCCCTTGATGCATTACGATCAGGGTGTGAGGCTCCGGCCGTCCCACTTCTAAGTTATCGCTGTCCCAAGCTGTCAGCTCTCATTTTCTCAAAGCCTTTCCCACTTTGCTGAAACTTCCAGAATTCTAGGAAATTACCAGATGTTACTTCCTGTCCACATAGTAAAACTTGAACTATGTCCCTTCCGCGTGTAAGAGCTGGCTATCTGCCGGATCTCTTTGTTTGTAATCCTAACTTGATACAAATTTAATTTACACACAACAGTCCTCCAGTCAAAATGAACGGTTATAGTATCTGGTGCAATAAGTGGAAAAACCTGTAGTATGTATGCATAATGAACACAGTGGTTTTAATGACAGCAAATCTGTTAACTTGTCACTGAAACTCGCCCAGTCGTTGCTTTATTTCGTCCATATGCCCTTGATTGTGTGATTTTCTACATGTCTTTGTTGTTGCTTTGGCAGAATCCATTGTGGCTTACTTTCATCATTCGAATATAGCAATGCGCAAAAATTCGGAAAGGGTACACACCATTTCCTGGTGGAGATTTAATCTCGGCGCTCATGTCTGGCATGATGGTCTCCTATATAAAATAAAGCACACACTCCCGATATATTTCAAGCTCATCAGGTCCTACCTAAATGGCCGTCAGTTCAGAACTAAAGTCAACGGAGAAACGTCAAATCTCTTTCCAATAAAGTTCGGCGTACCTCAGGGTAGTGTATTGGACTCAGTACTCTATTTACTATATATATATCAGACATACTGACGACAGCTGATACAATAACTGTCACTTTCGCAGATGACATAGTAATATTATCCAGCCATGAACACCCAGAAACTGCGTCAGTTCACCTGCAACACCACCTACATCTCCTAGAACAGTGGACTAAAAAATGGAAAATTAAAATAAATTAAACAAAATCTACGCAAATCACTTTTACTTTAAGAAAGGGACCGTGTTCATCAACAATGAAATCATACCGGAATCACCATCAGTGCGCTATCTTGGAATACACTTAGATAAAACACTCAGTTGAAAGAACACATAGTCAAAAAGAGGAAACATATCGATGCGAAATTTATAGAGTTATACTGGCTACTAGGAAGAAAATCCCAACTGAACTTGGAAAATAAATTCCTGATATACAGTGCTGAGATAAAGCCCGTTTGGACCTACGGGATTGAGCTATGGGGCTGTGCCAGTAAGCCGAGTATCGCCATCATCCAAAGATCTCAGTCAAAAATACTTCGAGCAATGACAGATGCACTTTGGTATGTATCGAACGACACCCTTCACCACGACCTTGGCATCTCAACCATCTCTGATATAATCCAAGAGGTTGGCAGCAAACACTATGATCGACTAGAGACGCACATCAATCCATTGATGAAGCCGCTACTGGAAGAACCCAAAAATAGACGCTTGAAAAGACGTCTTCCAATTGACCTCAAGTGAATAACGGAGTCTCCTTCGGTGGAAGGACCCTCATCTTGCCATAGGCGGGCTCAGTAACCCAATGTCACATCAATAGCTTATAGAATATGATAGTCCTGATTGCTATTTTAGTAACAATAAAAAAATGTCTCCGTCGTCTCAGCTTGGTCAGCTCTCCCTGTGCCGACTCACATTGTAGCGGCAGAGGTACGAAAACTACAACTACGTCCAGTGTAAATTAAGTGGGGAAATTGTGTTATTTATCTTCATCCATTGCGGCCTATCTGAGTACATTTCACTTGAAGAACGAGACAGAACCCAGTATCCGTAACGATATTTTTTAATTAAAAAGAATCTGACAAAGAATGATGTCCAAATTCACAATAACATTTTTCATTTTTTTATGTGTTATATATTTCAACGAACTAAATTTTTGAATAATAAGGAATAGAACGTTTTTAATATGACATGTCGGCTCTGAGGACTTGCTTGTGTTAGTTCGAAGCTTCTGGCTAAACAGGACTGTCAAGGAGACGACATACTGGCGCCTTGACATCTCGAAATTTCAAAATGAAGCATCGCATTGCCAGGTTAAGACAATGCAATACGACATTACGAAAGTCACTATCATGTCTTAATAAATAAAAGGTAAAAATATCCCGGTATGAGGCCGTGAAGGTCTATAGGGTCGAGAGGCGTCAATGCTCAAAAATTTATAGATAATCAGCTCACAGGTGGCAGTAAGGTTGCCAGCCGTACGCTCTGGCCGCCCTTCATCCCCAGGAAGAGTCCTGGTACTCATTTTTGTTAGAGGTTGAGGGCCATAGGGCAGCTTCCTTCTTGTAGCATAGTGCCTCAACCAACTACGCTACCGCGAACGGCAAAAAAATTAAATAAATGTTAGTAAATGGTAAAATGTATAGAAAAAGGAGAAGCTATTCCTGTAACAGGCCGTGGTGGCCCATAGGGCTGTTAGAGTCGAGGTTCCCACATTTTCTCTTAACAATCGGCTCACAGATGACAGTGAGTTTGTCAGCCTTACGCGCCGGCCGCCCACACTTCACCCCCAGGGAGATTCTTGGTACGCATTTCTGTTAGATGCTGAGTCGAACCCAGGGCCATAGTGCGGCTGGAAGGATTTGGTCAATTGCAAAATCCAATGACATTGTTGCCAATGCTATAAAGAGTATCCTATAGGTGGCAGCATAATGCAGACAAAGAGAACACGATCACAGTGCCAGTTGGAAGATGGCTGCTCCACTACGTACATCCACGAAAGAAGAACAACGTTTTGTAATTCGTTTTTTGACCAGTGAAAGTGTGAAACCGATTGAAGTTCATCGACGGATGGAGGTTCAGTATGGTGATGCATGCTTGTCACAGCAGCACGTGTACGAGTGGAGTAGGGAATTCAGAAGTGGTATAACGTCTGTAGCAGAAGCTCCTCGCCCGGGTCAGGCGCACAGAGTTGTGACCCCTGAGTCTGTTGCAGCAGTTGAAGCCCTAGTGATGGAGAATGGCCGAGTATCGGTGGATGAAATAGCTGAAAGTCACAGATCAGCACACCGTGTCATTCATGATGTGCTCCGGTTTCACAAAGTGTCTGCAAGGTGGGTGCCGAGGTAGCTGACTCCAGAACTGAAACAACGACGTGTTGACGCCTATGAAGAATTTCTGCGGCGCCTTCAAGCAGAAGGTTGTGGCTTCCTTTCGAGAATCGTTACTGGCGATGAAACTTGGGTCCACTACCACCAACCAGAAACAAAGAGAACGAGCAAGGAATGGCGTCATTCCTTATCACCAAAACCCAAGAAGTTCCGGACGCAGCCATCTGCAGGGAAGATTATACTGAATCTCTTTTGGGACGAACGAGGCGTACTCTTGGAGCACTACACGCCTCGGGGGAACACTATCACCAGTGCCTCATATTCAGATCTCTTGAAGAATCATCTTCAACCTGCAGTCAGATCAAAGCGACGTGGACTTTTGACTAGAGCTGTCCTTTTGCAACATGACAATGCTCGGCCCCATATTGCCCGTGCAACAGTTGCAACAACCCAAGACTTGCACTTTGAATGTCCTCCACACCCGCCATACTCATCAGACCTAGCCCCAAGTGATTACCACATGTTTGGGCCACTCAAAGAGAAGAGTGGAGGAAAGCAGTTCCGTTTTGATGAAGAGGTACAGCAGGCGGTGAATGAGTGTTTGCGCAGACAGACACAAGAATTTTTTTCTAGAGGAATCCATACAATTTGTAAACGCTAGAGGGCCTGTATTGAACGAAATGGAGACGATAGAAAAATGATATAGTTGTGTACCAAATTATACTTTATTACATGCCGTGATTTTTTATGTACAGTAATGTTATATTCTAAGAAATTAAACGTAAATTATTTACTCACAGTTGTTGTTACATCATAGTTTTCATTACTGATTTATTTGTATATTTCTCCCATCTACGCAGCTTCTTTGATATGCTTGCCGCATGTTCTATGTACGTGCTTTTCCCTAAAACTGCAGCGATAGCATGGGTTTTCCTGTTTTTTATAACGCTGTTTTGGTATTTGTCTTATTTGTTAGAAGTTGGAGCTTCTTCAGCTTTATGACTCTTTCTGTAACGATGCACCCACCGATTGTTGGACATCATTTAAAATTATAAATATTTCAAAAATAAGTCTGTATAATGTCACTTCTTCCGTTTGAAGAGTATAGGTCCCGCGTCTTATAATTATTTCAGTTCTATCACAGCTGTGCCCTGAAGTAGTTCGAAAATTGTGGTTGCTAATTAGTCTTGCTATTTTCTATTACCATTAGACTACTTTATTTTTTTTAAGATGGATAAATTCCTTATATTGAGTGTTGAGATGTTCCCGACTGTATGGTCACTTGCTGACGGAAATAAAGTTTGATGGACACAATTAAAGAACTTTTAGAAATGCTGCAGTAGAAATTCAATAAGTATTTTGGAGAGAGTGTACAAGATTTCGAATGGGTTCGTGATCCATTCGTTGCGAATTCAGAACATCTTCCGATTAATGTACAAGAGGAACTCGCAGATTTAAAAGCGGACAGAACATTGAAACTAAAACTTCTCGAAGTGCCTTTGGATACGTTTTGGTTGGCAATGAGTGAACACCCGGCTATCTCGAGATGGCAGTTAATGTGTCATTGCCATTTTCAACTACATATTTGTGTGAACTGGGCTTCTCGACGTTAACTGAAATTAAGACATCAAAGAAGGAGAGGCTCAAATCCATCGATGAAGAAATGAGACTTGCGTTGTCAACGACTCCACAGCGGATCAGTCGCTTGTGTGCAGCTACGCAGGCGCAAGTATCACATTGAAGGTATGAGTAGAACTACTGTATTTACCTTAAAAGCGATATAAGTGCATTTTCTACACTCTACAGTGAATTAAAGTTCATTAATTGTTAATAAACGCACGAGTCGATTTATGTTTAATGATGATAAAATAACAATAAAATAATATTATAGTAATAAGTTGATCACGTTACGTATTTATATTAATTGTCTGATATCATGCGTTTTGAGGGGAATAACATTTTGGTGTGCCGTGTTGAGTCATGGATACTTCATGGTGTGCCGCGAGTGGAAAAGGTTGCGGAACACTGAGTTAGAGAACTGCTGGGGTTCAGTCCTTGTGAGCTGTTGCTGTTGGACACTGGTAGCTGAGGCAGTAAAGACTGTAGCAGAGTGAGATTACTACTCTGTGTGTGACAGCAATTTTTAAAGTGTAGTCACAAGTTGAGTGTTAAAGTGTTCAATAAATGCGGGTACCATTCCAAACCCCGCCTATAGTTAGACTCATACACATAATATCAATGTATGCTACCAACATTTTCTGTTTACTTTTTAATATACGCAACTGATAACTGAGGAGCTATTCCAGGACAATAGCGGCTCCGGTATAGAAAATCGAAATTACGGCCGTGGTGATTCGTTGCGCTGACCACGCGACACCTCTATCCGCAAAAGTTGGCACTGGCGAAAACAATTTATATGCTAACCTAACACCGTGATCTTTTACACAGCCAGTGCACAAAAATAAATAATCGTAAATATAGCAATTAAATATGAAATAAATTAGGAAAAGTCATAGAGTAAATGATATTTGTTTTAAGGATGTCAAGTTCACATAATCTTTAATACAACTTTTGAACCGAATTGAAATAAAATTGCAGGAATTTACGAATTTCGGCACACTTCTGAAGCGAAATTATTTGTTTCATCAGCAAGCTGAGATAATGACTCGTAGCACACAGACACTCAATGAAAGTGTTTGACGAAACGGGCCACAATTTGGAGCTTTATGTCACTCAAAAAGCAAGGTAAAGTGTGAGGAGGAAAGGGAATTATCTTAAATTAAAACAGTGAAAGGAAAAACTGACGACAAATAAGTTTGGAACCGTTTGGCACATCGTAATAAGATTCGAAATTTATGAAACACAATGCAAACATCCTCCCTTTGTTTCTGAAGACCTGATAATTTGTTGAGAGATGTTAAAGCAGTTGTCGGGCTGAATTAGAACTGTCTCCGAGAGTCCCACTGGAACTTCCGGGAAGAGCAAAGTCAGCTACTGGAGTTGTTGAAACAGGAAGCTCAGATGAATATGTCAGATCAGGGTTAATACGACTAAAGAAGAAATCAATTTATAAAGTATTTGGCCATGGACTATATAGATTATGTACGAATAGACATATGAAACAAGAATCACAATTATTAGATTTAGTTTCGGCCGGGACAGTGCAGCGGGTATAGCGACTAGTTACTGGCTGGACGACCGTGGGGTCGGAGTTCGAGTTCCGGTGCAGTCAAGAATTTTCATTTCTCCATGTCCTTCAGAGCAGCACTGGGGGCCCCTCCACCTCCTATCCAATGGGTACCTGGGACTCCCTGGGGTTAAAGCGCCCTTTTGCAAAGCTGACCGCTCACCTCCAACTAGTGCCGAGGTCAAGAAAATGTGAATCTATACATTCACTCCCCCATACGCCTTCATGGCATAGTGCTTACTTAGTTAAGTACAGGGACAAATTTAATGACTTTACCTTATAACGAAAGTAAGAGAGAAAGTGTACGGATCAGATCTTTTGCATTCGTCAAACATCATCATCATCATCATCAGTAGGGCCCGGATTTCTATGACATGTCATAATTTTTTCCTAGGGTTTATTCCTATTTTTAAATGTAATTATGCAT